TTGTTAAAATAATGTGTTTAATGTTGTTTACTTCTACTTTACAGGTTTTATATGATTTAGAAGTGATCGGGAAGAAACCAAGCAAAAACAAGTCAAAAAGGGGCTCAAAAGCAAAAATATGAAAATTGGCCTCAAGGGTCGCAAATGCGAGCAGTAGCTCGTAATTGCGAAGTCAACCAAGAAAGTCAATGTTCGCAAATGCGAACATGTGAATCACAATTGCGAAGCCAACTGAGTTAAATAATGTTCGCAAATGCGAAATAAGGTCCGCAAATGCGAAGTCAAACCAGACAGTCAACCTTCGCAAATGCGAGTCAACAGGAAAGTCAAGGTTCGCAAATGCGAACATAGCTTCGCAAATGCAAAGATCGCGCTTCAGTTCTAGGCTCTTCTATAATTTCACATCCTTTGGCCCCAAACCCTTTAATACACGACCTAGCTCATTTGTAAAACATCTTTGGCATATCTTTGGATTATTTTTGAGTCTCTTGACTAGAGAAGACAAGTTTGAAAGCTAAGGTTCTTGCACACACACTTGGGTCTTGAACATTTGAAGCTTTTGGTTGAGAATTTCTTACCCATTTATCTTCACTTCTTCATTTGCTTGCTTTGTATTGAATATCTAAGTGTGTAGTATTTTTTTCAACACATAAATCTTATTTATAGGAATATTCATATTTAAAGTGTGGATTAAATATCTTGTTATGCTTATGTATTGAACGATTTTTATTTATTATGAAGTGAGTTATTGTTTCTTTAATTATTCTTGTTCTTTAATGTTTTCAAAGGGATTAACTAACCCTAGGACTCGCCCATTCACTTCGAATTAATTTTGGAAAAGATAATTTGGGGTTGGGAAAGATTAATTAACAAGAACTTGAGGCGTTAACCCTCACTTTATAGATTCTACCTAGGGATAGGATTGAACTACTTGTAGTCATATTCGGGTGTGCTTAATCTCTTAATTGTTTTAGGGTAATTCAATTAGGAAGTCTTGTTAGTTTTTGAAAGAAGCTAATATAGAATTATTACCCGAGGCTAATTAACATAAACTCGCTCATATTTGTAAAACCGTGAAATACATTAGATCGTTACTTGAGTGTAATTCCCAATGCATCTATGCTTGTAGTCATTGATCATTTTACTTGCTTTCTAGGTTAGTTTACATTTTCGCAATTAGACATAAATATTTTCTCAAAATCATTTCTAAGTGTTTGACTTAGCATAATAAGTGATAATTCTTTTACCCGCCTAATCGCCTACATATTGTTCTCTGTGGGATTCGACCCCGACTCATAGTAGTGGATTTGGACGTCATCAATTAGCATCCGTAAAAAGTTATGGAAAAATAAGTTATTGAATAGTGTGTAATGATATTATATTCTCTTATTTTACTTTCAACGTTTGAAACATGTTCAACACAATAATTTTTCTCTATTTTTTATTCTTCGGAGGATACTGTAAAAGCAAAGTTATGTAAAGACAAAAACATTGCAGCGGTAGTATCAAATTTCACAAACATATTAAAATGGAAATTTAAAAAAGTACCTCTAACTTTTTTGTAGGATAGGTAAGTGATGAACAATAACAATATACACATAAAAACATGTATTATCATATCATAACTGTATCCTATTGCAATACGTGGTTGTTAATAGGAATAATTTCCGAAAACTCCCTTTAAATTTGCCTCTATAGGAGAAACCTCCTTTCTGATTTGAAATATTATGACCACCTCCCTTTGTTTGATTGCTTTTTGTAACAAAACTAAATTCAAATGGTTAAATTACGTAATAATGTTCCAAAATTGCCGCTTGGTGGCATTTATAAGACTTGATGAAAATAAATCTCTTTTCTCACACTTGAAACGTTAAGCGTCAAAGTTTACTAGTTGCAAATAATTTTTTTGTAGCTGTCATGCTCTAACTAAATATGCCTAATTAGCTAGAGAAACCAACCGAACAAAATCAGTAAATAACTGTAAACTGCTGGAACGATAATCCCGAGGACCCTAGCCATTGAACTCGTATAAGCTGAGGTATTCTAATGCATGAGCTTGCTGATCAGTGAACTCAACAGGTCTAGTAGCAAATAACCCAATATTGAGTATAGAAAATTTTATCTCCTATAGCAAAAGGTATACACCATATTCTTTATAAATCAAAATTATTTTAAAATATTATTTTCTATTGCTACCTTTTATATTTTATAGCAAATAAGTATTTATGGTATATATTACAATTGAGGTATGAAATAATGCATGAAATACACTATTTAGGTTTTTCCTCTCTCTTTCTTTCAATTAATACACGATTCCCTCTCAGAATTTTTCTTCTTTCTCTCTCTTTCTTTTCTCTCTCTTCGAGCAAAATAGGCCGAATCATAGATACATGAACGAGAAACAAATCATGAAAGAAAGCCTAAAAATCTCAAAATCAGAAACATGAAAGTAAACCTATAATCAAAAAAAGGAAGCAGAGATACCTTGGGTGACGGAGAGATTGAAGAGAAAGAAGGATTCTTAGCGCAGTAAGTAAGAGAGAAAAGAGGAAGAAGTAGTCGAATTGGAAGCATTGTAAGTTGTAATGGAAGAAGTAGTGAAGCGATATAGGAGTCTTGGCCGGAAAACGCCATCTCCGACGAACTTTCTTCTCTTCTTTGCTATTTAGTCACATATAATGATACAAATACATTATTTTCTGTACAAATTCACTCAAACACATTATATTTTTGTATAAATATATTTTTTTGCTTGTGTTTATGTATTTCGAAGGTCTGTATTTTTTAATACAGCTGAATAGACCTGTATTCATGCATATTGTACATACAATATGCATGAATACAGGATATAAATATTGAAATACACTGAATACAAACATTAAAATAGACAACAACAACAACAACATACCCAGTATTATCCCACATCGTGGGGTCTGGGGAGGGTAGTGTGTACGCAGACCTTACCCCTACCTTGTGAGGATAGAGAGGCTATTTCCAATAGACCATCGGCTCAGGAAAGCATAAGCATCACATTAAAGAAAATATAGACAAGAAGAGACAGTACCAAAAAGTCATATAAAAGCAGAATAAAAATAATAAGATAGTAAGGTAATTAACAATGAAAGAAAATAATGGTTTGTCATAAAAAATTACTACCCATAGAAAGGAGACTGCGTGCCAATACTATTGTTATGGACACTCAAGACTTCCTACTATACTACCCTAATCGTGGACCTCCATAACTTCCTATCAAGGGTCATGTCCTCGGTCAGCTGAACCTGCACCATGTCTTGCCTAATCACCTCTCCCCACCTCTTCTTTGGCCTACCTCTACCTCTTCGTAGGCCCTCCAATGTCAACCTCTCACACCTCCTCACCGGGGCATCTGTGATCCTCCTCCTCACATGACAAACCACCTAAGTCGTGCTTCCCGCATCTTGTCCTCAATAGGGGCCACACCCACCTTGTCGCGAATAACCTCATTTCTTATCCTATCTAACTTGGTATGCCCGCACATCCATCTCAACATCCTCATCTATGATACCTTCATCTTCTGGACATGAACGATCTTGACTGGCCAATACTCAGCCCCATGCAACATCGTTGGTCTTACTACCACTATGTAGAACTTACCCTTAAGTTTTGGTGGCACCTTTCTGTCACACAAAATACCAGAAATGAGTCTTCATTTCATCCATCCCTCCCCAATACGATGTGTGATATCTTCATCAATCTCCCCATCTCCCTGAATAATAGACCCAAGGTACTTAAAACTCCCTCTCCTAGGGATGACCTGCGAGTCCAGCCTCACCTCCCCTCCCCCTCCTTGAGTCTCGACACTGAACTTACACTCTAAGTATTATGTCTTGGTCCTGCTCAACTTGAAACCTTTAGATTTAAGGGTCAGTCTCCATACCTCTAATTGCGCGTTCACACCGTCTCGTGTTTCCTCAATCAATGCAATATCATCTGCAAACAACATGCACCAAGGCACCTCCCCTTGGATGTGGCGCGTCAGTACGTCCATCACTAGAGCAAACAAAAAGGGGCTCCGAAAAATGGTCTGAGTCCCCACCCACCGTCCTCACTCGGGTCTTTACTCCAACATACATGTCCTTAATCAACCTAACGTAGGCAACAGGTATACCTCTAGCCTCTAAACATCTCCACAAAATTTCCCTCAAAACTTTGTTGTACGCCTTTTCTAAGTCGATGAACACCATATACAAGTCCTCATTTCTCTCCCTATATTGCGCCATCAATCTCCTAACAAGGTGGATGGATTCTGTAGTCGAATGCCCCGGCATAAACCCAAATTGGTTCTCGAAAATAAACACTCTCCTCCTCACCCTTAGCTCTACCACTCTCTCCTAAACTTTCATATTATGGCTAAGCCATACAATATCCCAAAGTCACAATGACTCCCGGAGAGTTTCAAATCACCCAGAGCAATGCTCATATCCCCCTCCTCGTTCAAGAGACTATGAAAGTAGGTCTTCCATCTCCGACGGATAAGCCCCTTATCTAACAAAACTCTACCTTCTTCTTCCTTGATGCACTTCACTTTGTCCAGGTCACGTGCCTTCCTTTCTCGTGCCTTGTCTAACCTGAACAACCTCTTATCCCCACCTCGGCCCTCGAGTTCCTCATACAAATGATTAAAAGCTGCAGTCTTGGTCGCCGTAACTACTAGCTTTGCCTCATTCTTAGCCAACTTATGATGCTCCTTATTCGGCCTCTTCTCCTCCTCGTCTACACTTTCCACTAGCTTCAGATACTCTGCTTTTTTGGTTTTCACTTTTCCTTTCACCTCTCCATTCCACCACTAGTCTCCCTTGTGACCACCAGAGTAACCCTTTGAGAAATAACTCTCTCGTGGCTTTCCTAATGCACTGCGCAGTCGTGGTCCATATAATGCTTGCGTCCCCACTACTCATACAAGCCCCTATAGTCACCAGCTTGACCCCCAACTCTTGTTCTTTAGCTTCTGTCAAAGCTCCCTACTTGATCCTATGTTGGCTATACATCACCCTCTTCTTCCTCTTCCTCGTAATCTCAAGGTCCATGACTATGAGCCTATGAAGGGTCGAGAGGTTCTCACTCGGTATGACCTTGCAATCCGTGCAAAGACCTCTATCGGACTTCCTGCAGAGTAAATAATCAATATGAGTCTCGGCCACCAAACCCTGGAAGGTGACCAAGTGTTCCCTGTTCTTCGGGAAACTCGAGTTTACTATCACCAAATCAAATGCTCTAGCAAAGTCTAGAAGAGACGTTCCTCCTCTGTTTCTATCTCCAAAACCAAAGCCACCATGCACATCCTCATACCCCCCAGACGTCGCTCCAATGTGACCGTTGAAATATCCTCCTATGAAAAGCTTCTCGGTATGTGGGATACCATGCACCATGTCATCCAAATCCTCCTAGAAACGCCTCTTGACTTCCTCATCCAAGCCTGCATGGGGTGCGTACGCACTGATTATGTTCAAAGTAAAACCTCCAACAACTAGCTTAATAGTCATCAGGCTATCATTCACCCTCCTAACCTCCACCACTAGTTCTCGAAGGTCCTTATCAACCAAGATACATACCCCGTTCCTGCCCCCCACCCTCCCAAAATACCAAAGTTTGAAGCTGCCCACATCTCGCACCTTATCTCCTACCCACCTAGTCTGTTGTACACAAGCTATATTAATCTTCTTTTTCTCGAGAACCTTCTCTAACTCTACAGATTTTCCAGTCAAAGTTCCTATGTTCTAAGACCCCACTCTCAGCCTAGTAGTTCCCAGTAGCGAATACATTTAATTTTAAAATACAGTAAAATACACTTAATGCAAATAGAAATACAGTGAATACAACCGATGAAATATACTGAATACATCAGTAATAACATGTATTAGGAATAACTAAAATATTGTTAATACAAATACATTTGAATACACTAAATATAAAATTGGGAATACAGTAAATACAAACATTGAATCTAATGAATGCAACAATAAAAAAAATATTAAAACACACTAAATACAAAAATTATATACAACTCAAAAATCATTCTAATTAATTGAGTTGATAATGAGGCATGTTAGAATTTATTTTTTTGAGTTATATTATGAGTGTATCACGCTAATTGATATTATTTCCGTTATTAGACAGTTGCACATACCTATTTTTAAGGTGATTGTCGTTACTGTATTCATGAATACATCAGCAAAAAGTACCTAAAATCATGGCAATCCAGCTGTACGCGCATGTATTCACATGTATTCGCGCTGCTGTATTCATGAATACATGGCGCGAATACATGTGAATACATGCGCGTACAGCTGGATTGCCATGATTTTAGGTACTTTTTGCTGATGTATTCATGAATACAGCAGCGCGAATACATGTGAATACATGCGTGTACAGCTGGACTACCCTGATTTTAGGCGCTTTTTGCTGCTGTATTCATGAATACATGGCACGAATACATGTGAATATATGCGCGTATAGCTGGACTGCCTGGATTTTTAGGCGCTTTTTGCTGCTGTATTCATGAATACAGCAGTGCCAATATAGCGAATACACTACCGTAACAACTGAATAGTAGCTATATGAAGTAATTATGTGTATGGTAGCTATAGGAAGTTAATAGTCACTAAATAATAGTGGTTTTTGAAAATTCCTCATTAATATATACTCCTAATAAAGTACTGTAAGAGTGTAGATTATATCTCTAAGAGGAATTTTCAGAAACCACTATTGTTTTGTGGTATTAACTTCTTATATCCACCATATACATAATTACTTCCTATAGCTACCATATGCATAATTACTTCTTATAGCTACTATTTAGTTGTTATGGTAGTGTATTTGTTGTATTCGCGCGGCTGTATTCATGAATACAGTAGCAAAAAGTGCCTAATATCATGGCAATCCAGCTGTATGCGCATGTATTCACATGCATTCCCACTGCTGTATTCATGAATACAGCAGCAAAAAGTACCTAAAATCAAGGCAGTCCAATTGTACGCGTATGTATTTACATGTATTCGTGTTGCTGTATTCATGAATACAGCAGCAAAAAGCACCTAAATTCAGGGCAGTCCAGTTGTAGGCACATGTATTCACATGTATTTACGTTGTTGTATTCATTAATACAATAGCAAAAAGTGCCTAAAATCAGGGTTGTCCAATTGTACGCGCATGTATTCAAATGTATTCGCGCCATGTATTCATGAATACAGTAATATGAATCACCTTAAAATAGGTATGTCCAGGTGTCTAATAACGGAAATAATATCAATTAGCGTGATACACTCCTAATATAACTCAACAAAATTAATTCTTACATGCCTCATTATCAACCCAATTAATTAGAATAATTTTTTAGTTGTATTTAACTGTTGTATTTAACTTTAGTATTTAGTGTGTTTCAATTTTTTTTTATTGTTGCATTCATTAGATTCAATGTTTGTATTTACTGTATTTGCTATATTATATTTAGTGTATTCAAATAAATTTGTATTAGCAGCATTTTAGTTATTCCTAATACATGTTATTACTTCTGTATTCAGTATATTTTATTGGTTGTATTAACTATATTTCTATTTGTATTAAGTATATTTTACTGTATTTTACTGTATTTTAAAATTAAATATAGTCACTATTTATATTCTGTTCTATTTTAATGTTTGGATTCAGTATATTTCAATATTTATATCTTGTATTCATGCATAAATACATGTGTATTCAGCTGTATTAAAAAAATATAAATCTTCGAAATTCATAAATACATGCAAAAAATAATGTATTTATACAACATACAATATATTTGAGTGAATTTGTACATATATAATGTGTTTGTATCATTGTATGTGACTAAATAGCAAAGAAGGGAAAACAGTTCGCCGGATATGGCATTTTCCGGCCAAGCAAAATATTGTATACATTGTATTAAAATTAAAAATGGAGACAAACAAAAACCCTAGCCCTCAAATCTTCTCCGTGTAAAAATATTGCAGTATCCGTGTAGAGAAATCCATTGCAATATTAGGCGTAGAAAAAGCCGCAGTCTCTTTTTTTCTAATATTGCAGTATAAATCCATTGCAAATATCCGGCGTAGAAACTAAGCAGTACAAATCGATTGCAATATCCGGGATATAAACCAAGCAGGAATTCTGCTCGAATAGAGAGAGAGAGAGAGAAAGAAGAAAATTTTGTTGCGATTTTGAGAGAGAATTATGTGTTAATTGAAAGAAAGAGAGAGAAGGAAGAGGGAGAGAAAGAAGAAAAAATCTGAGAGAGAATCTTGTGTTAATTGAAAGAAAGAGAGAGGAAAATCATAAATAACATATTTCATGCCTCAGTGGTAGTATATATCATAAATACCTATTTTTCTATAAAATATAAAAGGTAGCTATAAAAAAAAATTAAAATGATTTTGGTTTATAATAAATAGGGTGTATACCTTTGCTATATGAGGTAAAATTTCCTATCTCTAATTGTTGTTGTTGTAGGACACCAACAAAAATCAGTTATTCTACTGGTTGTATGGTGTACTGGTTTCGGTTTGAGGCATACTTGTGAAACATTGATGACTTGCAGAGGTTGAGATCGAGGATGACTCGAGTAAGGGTAATTCTGGATATGGGTTGTGTTACACTTTATGGGTATATGGAAATCATGGAATGATTGAGGTGTTATTCGTGGAGGATGTAGTACGCATGGAGTAGGAATTTGCTCGGTTGCGTTAAGGCATGGTTACTTCTGTGGGTGTTGTCGTGCTAATGGGGCACAAGTCGTTCGGCCTGTTTGGGGCAGTGCAATTGAGATTTTAGCAGAGTGGATGATTCTCGAGAAAGTTCTAATGGATTAAAGATTTTTGTGTAGCAATTGTGAATTTTTCCGGATTTGTATATGGCTAGGATCTGAGAGTTACATTGGATGGTATCGAGACTCATAGTATTTCTATATCACTATGAATTCTACATTTTAGTATCAGAAAGGTAAAGGAAATAGTTTCAGGTTCAGATGACCTTTCGGAGTGGGTGTCTCGATTGTGGTACTTTTGGATTGCTAGAGAGGGAATACATCGACTTATGGGCCTTAGGGCGGTGTGGTTTTATTATAGGATCTCGTGGGGGTAAGTTTTGGTTAAGGATCATGGTGTTCTGGCAATAAGATGTGTCACCTAGAGGGTAATTCAGAAGGAACTCAGAGAAATAGTACATCTTGGTAGTAGGTTGGATCAGCAAGGTAGTAGATATGATCGGTTCTTCGGGTATTTATGTTGTGGTGAGCCTCTACAGGTGTTTCGTGGCAATGCTCTTGGTTTTTGGCGGCCTGCGTGATTTGGTTGAGTTAGAGGGATTCAGTTCTGATAGCTGGGTTATGTACAAATGGATTTCAAAGTGTTCTAAATAGTTTCTACCACAGTTCGAGGTGTATATATCCTGATGGCGTGAAGAGCATGTTATATGTTATGATTTACTCCTAGATGAGATCAAATAGAAGGTTCCTGACTAATTGCGTATGTAATTTTATTGTGACTCAGAGTTGATTACGAGATTCTTGTACTTTTCATATTCATGATAGATGCGGTATGTTGTGTGGAAATAAGATTTATGTGTGCAAGATCACGGTTTAGTTTTGAAAGGGAGGGGCATGAATTCTTAAACAACATGGGCTGTTTCAGATGACTAGATGAATGATATTACCACTTGGTATTTCCTGAAGAGAGTGTACAAGTATTCCTCGTGGGATGATCGTGTATGAGAGATGTGTTAGACATTCGGGCGGTGGAGTTGGGACCAGATATGGTGATTCGTGTGTTCTATGTATTTAAAAACCGAAAATTCTCAACAGCAGATTGTTTCGTGGTTGTGGGCTGAGAAGATGTGGATAAAGCTAGCCATATGATGGTATGTGTCGTGGTTAGGTCATTGTGGACCTTCAGAGGGTTATTTATCTATTTATGGATGACCAGAGTTGATTTGGGGCCCAATAGGTAGACCCAATGAGGATGTGTATTCTACATCAGGTCGGATTGGTTGAGTCCGTACTGCTATTGTTGAAGGATGTGCCATTCGGGAGTTGAGCTTATTCATGTTCTGATATGATCTATGTGCTACTCCTCTATGCTACAAGGGGTTGTGATTCATTGGTTATATGCACACGTGGTGCGATTCTATTTGGGCCTTATGGCTGAGTTTGAGCGAGATGGGTATTAGGGTATTGAATGATTGATTGCGCATTGGTTACGTTCTTTCCGGATTGTGGTATTATGTTATTTGTCTCTCCATGATTATGGCCATGCACCTTGGGTACTTGATGTCGAATTGCGCGTGGTTATTGATTTTGAGCATGGTGGCTGAGGTATTTCATATGGACTAGTGTTTGGATGGGGTCACGCATTGCAACGGG